ATATATATGTGTGTGTGCAAAAGAACGAAAAGAATAAAAATTCAAACGTTCATAACATTAATTTAAAAAAGGGCTCAATACAAGAGGAGAGCAATAAATATTTATTATAACCTGTTTCACTGGAACTTGTGAGTTACCGCAAAAAAAAAAAAAAAAATTTTTTTTGTCGCGGTAAATTGCATGTTCCAATGTAAATATATATATATATATATATATATATAAATACATACACAATGAAAGGTGCATCCAAGTATATCTGTTTTAATGTCCTTTCTTTCCCTATTGTTTGTTTCTCTGTTCTATTAAACCATGTATATTTGCCCGTATAAGTTTTATTTTAATAAGTGGTTAGAATTCGTTTAATAACACTTTCAATCTTAAATATTTCTTGGTTGTTGTAACGGAGTGTCTATATCAATGTATGTGGGTGTATGTACGTGTCTTTATCGGTGTCTGTGTGTAACTTGGATGCACCTTTCATTGTGTATGCATGTTTTTTTTTTTGTCGTGGAGATATTTCCTGTCTTAGTTCGTTGTCAAGTTTTTTGAATTCTCATATGTATTTTGATTGGTCATTCCAGCTTATGTAACAGCGTTTTCCCCTTGCGAGGAGTGGTTAATTGATTTGAATCTTTTAAAACCTTTTATTCTACATTCAACATCATCACTTAATAAGACACCAGAGGTGTTGAAACAAAATGGTTTCTTTTGTAGTGATTTTATAACATATTTATGTTATAATTTTCGAATAAATAATTATATAGAGATAGATAGATATATGTTTATGTTTGTGTGTGTGTGTGTGTGTGTGTGTGTGTGTGTGTGTGTGTGTGTATAACTTAATTTATGAAGGCGAAAATGCATCCAATATCAAATAATATATCCTAATAAAGTTACTGCAATTACAAAGCGATTCAAACGAAAGCTGTAGAAATCGTACGGCTCATACTCCTCCCCGATTTTTTGAAGAGGTGTAAAGGTTTTTCCCTTGTTTCCTGTTTAAGATTGGGTTTCCGGTTCCTTAAACTTTTTATCTCTGATGGGTCCGCCTGAAATTTGAAATTTTATTCTGTAATTATGTTTTTTTCTTCCCCCCCAATACTCCTAACGTCTCTTCCAAAATATAATTAAATCTTGAGCTATTCAAGTCTAGAATTAGCTTTCTAACCTTCCTGTTATTTTGCCCTTTCTTACGCTAATAAAGCTCCATACAGTAACATTAGTAAAATAACCAAAATGAAGCTGAATGAGGGCGTCAATTGTTTTTAAATTTTTAAATTCTTTTTTTTTTTTTTTAAATATGTGTTTGAGTATATAGTCTAGCTAGTTTCATTTAATTTCTTTTTTAATTTTAAACTTTTGAATTTAATTCATTTAAAAAATATATTTGGGTATATAGTCTAGCGAGCTTCATTTCGTTTCTTTTTCTATTTGTTTATATTTTTATCACTCTTATTAAGTATTTCACGTTGTGATAATAGAAATTATAAATATTAGGTTGGTGCAAAAAAATAATGTCGTTTTTTGACGTTAAAAATACGTCAAAAAACGACATTATTACGTCATTATTTTTGCACCAACCTAATATAAAAGTTTAAAATGTCAGCAAACCTACTCCTTCGTCTGTATTTGTAGTTACATCACTTTAATTCACTTATGTCCTATAAAATTTTCCACTTTGTTATTAATCTTCCTAATTTTATTTTCAAAGATATGGTCTGTCTGTAGATACATTAATCATTTGCAATTAATTTTCCTAATATTAAGATGGGTAGATAGAGCGGAAGTTAATATAAAAGTGTACACTGAAGTCAACGGCGACAGTCTGTTTCGCTTGTATATTTACATGTGCTTTATCAATCTTAGCTTGTCGACCTCTCCCGCCCGACAAGGTTATCACTGGAGGCATAATCTCGTTTGAGGAAGTAGATAGCCACCCGACCCTGTATACGCGGGGTCTACGGAGAATTTTTGCCCCAGCGTACGCGCTCAGAATTCCCCGCTTTAAAAACCAGCCTTTTGCCTTATCCCGCTATGTGGGGATCGTGTTTAGAGAACCAACAAGATTAATTCGTTCGAAGAGATTTTTAATCACTGATCTGAGAAAGCTGTGGTATCTTATTGTATAGCTGGCCACTTATATTCGAGGATACCCGTCTATAAGGGTAGCTAGACAATCCCTATTCGTTCAGGCGCATTTGTGTTTATTTGACACCCACAAAGACCACCTGTAGTTTATACTGCAACTATGCTGAGCAGACCTTAGTTACAGTTTCTGGGAAAGGGCATGTTATCTAGCGTGATCAGCAATCTGAACAAGGCCAGCACTCTCAAGCCCTCGTGCTACCCAACTTCACTCACAAGGTTTGGTTCAACCGTGGTATGGTTTTCAGGCACTTTCCAGTCTGATAACATCAAGAAGTCTCCTTCCTGACAAATCGACCATGGTGAGATTCGAACCCGGGTCTCATTGTTAGAATGCGAACGTTCTAACCACTCGGCTATACGAAGAATACCACGTTTCTTGTTGACCACCAAAATTGTTGATGATTTTTGCTTTTTAGACAAGATAGGTTACCATGTACAGAAAAAAAAACAAACAAGCAAAAATATGATGTGGTATGGAAAAATTCTGTGTCTACATTATATTGTGAGTGTGTCATTCAACGAAAATGCAATCAAAGCTAAGGCTCATTTTTACCCAAACTTCTCAACCAATAACCGCCTTGCTGTAAGTTCCCGTTGAATTACTTGCTAGGTTTTTGTGACGTTTTGTTGAATCAACTATGTAATCTTTACGAATTCAAGCAACCTGATTACATGAAATTGCGTGTGAAGGTCGGCAAATCTCCGACCGACATGGTATAAATGTTTCGTTAAGCTTTTGGCCAAAAAAATGATAAAGTAATATGCCTGATACAGCTTTTGAGATAAATGTGCCTTTCAAAACCGGTCGATAGTTGTTTCGGTATTATAAAGGTTCAGGGTGACATGTTCCAAGCAAAATAATAAAAAAAAACTGTGACAAAATATTCCTGAGAGCGGTTGCGGAAGAATACATTAGTTCTCATGTGAATTCAATCATTTATGAAATCTGTCAGGAGAGCAAAATTCAGGACCTTTTCAAACAGTCTTTTATAATAAGCAAAGTAAAACTTCCGTTGAATAGTTCGTTCTTTTTTTTCAGAATCTAGATTTCTTTCTTGTCTATATTCAACGATCGTAATTATTTGTTTTCAAAATCGTAATGTATCTGAATTATGTTAATGAAACCGCAGATAATATCAGGTCATCCTATAAGTTCTGTCCGAATTTTGAATAAAGAAAACAAGTGACCAAATGTTACATTTAATTACAGATTCAATCAACAATGTATTTTACCTGATTATCTATGACTTCCTTCCATCTATTAACAAGCTTACTATCAGGTCATCCCATAAGTTCTGTCCGAATTTTGAATAAAGAAAACAAGTGACCAAATGTTACATTTTTACAGATTCAATCAACAATGATTTTCCCTGATTATCTATGACTTCCTTCCATCTATTAACAAGCTTACTAATTCCATTACTGTAAAATTCTTTTGGCTTTGATTCGAAGAACTCACAAATGTCAGTTTTAACCTCTTCCTTTGTTACAAAAGCTGTTTCTTTCAAATGGTTCTGTAAGCTACGAAACAAATGGTAGTCTGAAGGAGCAAGATCGGGAGAATAAGGTGGATGAGGAATTTTCTCCCAACCAAGTTCTTCGATCTTTTGAGACGTGATTCTTGCTTTGTGGGGTCGCGCATTGTCCTGATGAAACATCACCTCTTTTCGATTCACTAGAGCAGGTCTTTTTCCCTCAAAGCTTGGTTCAAACACTAATTGCTAACAGTATATTTGAGCATTAATTGTTGCATTAGGTGGTAAGAATTCAAAGTGGATTATTTCTTGGCGATCCCACCAGATTGAAAGAAGAACCTTTTGCCCATAAAGTTCCTTTCTCGGCTGTGGCTGGGGTCCTCCTCCTTTACCAAGCCATTGTCTACGACGCTTAACATTTCGATAAAAGATCCATTTTTCGTCGCCAGGCACAAGTCTATCCAAAAAAGGTAAAACAAGTTCGCGAGAATGGAGAGAAGAGCAGATGTCAACTCGGCATTTGAAGTTGTTTTCAGACAATTCATGAGGCTCCCATTTTCCAAGTTTAGGAACTTTTCCAAGTTGTTGAAGATGACGATGAACAGTTGTATGGTTTGAACTGAGAACCACTGCCAATTCGTCAACTGACAAAGCAGGATTTTCTTCAAGGGCTGCTTCAAGAAGCTTTTCATCAAACTCAACTGGACGTCCGGTTCGATCTTCCTCTTCAAGGGTGAAATCTCCAACTCTGAATTTGGCAAACCATCTTCTGCAAGTTCTTTCATTCACACATTCCTCTCCATAAACTGAGTGAATGTTTCTAGCCGCTTCGGCTGCTGGGTTTCCTTTCTCGAACTCATAAAGCATTATGTGCCTCAAATGATTTTTGGGTACTTCCATGTTAGCAGGGTTTTAATCAAACAAAATTTAATTTTATTGTTCTCTGAAATAAGATTTGATCAGTTTAAATGCATCTAAACATAAAAATAATGTTCAGCTCCATTAGACATTATAAAATACTCTTTAAATTTCGTTCATTTTAAAAAATGGTAAAATTCGGACAGAACTTATGGGATGACCTGATATTTACATCTCTCGACTTTGATTGAGTTTAACCAGAATACACTCATTGAAGATTTTAAAATAACTTAGTCGTTTATATTCAAAGTAATATTTTCGATTCTCGGACAAATAAAAGAATTAAAAGACATATCTTCAAGTTTTTTTAAAGACGGTGGGAACATTATAGAATGACCGTGGTACTCTGGTATTTGTTTCAATGGCGCCATTTTGTTTTGGTATTATCGTCAAGAAACTTTCGGCGGATGTTGCTTGTCGTAGTTGCAGACGACAAAAATTCATACCGGAAATGTTTTTATGAGCCCTTTCAGAGAGCGAAAGACGGAAGCCACTGACATTGAAGAAAATAAAGTGGATGGGTGCATATGTCATATGCTTGTCTCCATTGAAGTGACCTCACTCATATGAATTCGTACAAAATACTGAGCGGTGGAATATGAGGAATGATCCGAAAGTAATGCCTTATAGACACGCAGCATAAACACACGCATCAAATCAAACTCGTTCGTCTCGTTCGTTCTTTCTGTTCTTCCTTTTTGTCCTTCCTTTCTTTCTTCCTTTTTGTCCTTCCTTTCTTTTTATCCTTCCTTCCTTTCTTTTTGTCCTTCCTTCCTTTCTTTCTTTTTGTCATTCCTTCCTTCCTTTCTTTCTTTCCTTTCCTTCCTTTCCTTCCTTGTTTTTTCCTTCCTTCTTTTTTTTTGTCCTTCCTTCCTTTCTTTTTGTCCTTCCTTCCTTTCTTTTTTTCCTTTTTCTTTTTTCCTTCCTTCCTTCCTTTCTTTCTTTTTTGTCCTTCCTTTCTTTCTTTCTTTCTTTTTGTCCTTCCTTTTTTTCTTTCTTTCTTTTTTTGTCCTTCCTTCCTTCCTTTCTTTTTCTTTCTTTTTTGTCCTTCCTTCCTTCCTTCCTTTCTTTCTTTCTTTTTGTCCTTCCTTCCTTCCTTTCTTTCTTTCTTTCTTTTTGTCCTTCCTTCCTTTCTTTCTTTCTTTCTTTTTGTCCTTCCTTCCTTTCTTTCTTTCTTTCTTTTTGTCCTTCCTTCCTTTCTTTCTTTTTTTTTCCTTTTCTTTTTTTTTTTTTTTTCCTTCCTTTCCTTTCTTTTCTTTTTGTCCTTCCTTCCTTTTTTTTCTTTTTTCCTTTTTTCCTTTTTTTCCTTTCTTTCTTTCTTTTTTTTTTTTTCCTTCCTTTCTTTCTTTCTTCTTTTTTGTCCTTCCTTCCTTTCTTTCTTTCTTTCTTTTTGTCCTTCCTTCCTTTCTTTCTTTCTTTCTTTTTGTCCTTCCTTCCTTTCTTTCTTTCTTTCTTTTTGTCCTTCCTTCCTTTCTTTCTTTCTTTTTGTCCTTCCTTCCTTTCTTTCTTTCTTTCTTTTTGTACTTCCTTCCTTTCTTTCTTTCTTGAGTGGTATATTTATTGAGAGCAGTGCATTGTTTTGAAAAAAAAATCTGAGTACAGTAATAAAAATAAAGGTAATAAAACTGTATATACGAGCAGGGGATGAAAGGTTCGTAGGGTGACTATGAAGGAGGGGGGTACTAGAGCTTTGTATTATTACATGTATTAATTTCCACTCTTCTTTTTAATAAATTGCACGGTTTTTTCCCGATAAACTGATATCAGACTGTTCAAGGATAACTTGCTAGACTTGAAGTATAACTACTACTGACTAACCTTTTAAATGGATAAGATTTGGCATCGTTTTGTTATCAAGTACCTACAAAAAAAGAGTTTAGCCCCAAGGACATCTATGGTGACATGCCTGACACATCAACGGTGCAAAAGCGGGCAGCTGAATTTAAGAAGGGAAGGGAGTGACTCGAAGATCGCGCAAGGTCTAGACGTCCGGCAATTTTCACCTCTGAGGAAAACATTGATTGTATTCACCACATGGTGATGCATGACAGAAGATTGTCTCAAATAACCAATGATATTAGAATATCTCACGAGAGAGTTGATAATATTCTGCACTAGGAACTTGGCATGACGAAGGTTTCTGCTCGTGCCACGTTTTCTGAGACCTGATGACGGGCGCATCAAGCTGATCACACCACGGGAAACATTGTTTGAGACCGATCCATCTGGTTTCCGTAAACGTTACTTAAGCCATGAGTGTTGGGTTCATCATTTTGAGTCGGAGACAATGAGACAATCCATGCAGTGGAAACACCCCCTCCTCACCTGCTCCAAAGAAGGCCAATGTCGTTTCATGAGCAGCGACGTTGATGCTCTCAGAGTTTTGGGACACGAAAGGCATTGTGTTTATTATCTTCAAAAGGGCCACGGCATCAATTACTGAGAAAGTTACGAAAGGCTGCCTAGACTAAACGCCGAGAAAACTGACGAATGGGGAATTGTCTCATCTGGACAATGCTCCAGGACACACATCCTTAGTTTCCATGGTTGATGTGCGTGATTGAGGCATTAAACTAGTTGATCACCCTCCCTATTTTCATGATTTGGCCCTATATCTGATTATCATCTGTTCCCCAATGTGAAAAAACACATAGCTGGGAATCAGTATAACAGTTATGATGACGTCATAGCTGCTGTTGACTTTTTGGACCAATAGGATGAAAGCTTCTTTACCAATGGAATCCAAGCACTGTAACACTGATGGAAGAAGTGTGTGGGCTGCAATGGAATCTATGTTGAAAATTAAACCTTATTTGGTCATATTTCATGAGAGTATCTTGGTCAGCCTCTTAACGTTTTAGCCGATTCCATTTTATCTGACATTTTTCTTGCACGATTTCTTACCTCACATTGCAAAATCTAATCTATGTTATTTATCTCTCAAGACATGTTTTATGAGAAGTCATTACACTTTATTATATCTGCAAGCAATACCTGCGCGTTGGGACCTTTGACACCAACTCTGTTTGAATAAGTAAGAATTAGAAAATTAAATTTCATTTGAAAGGCAAGCGCTACTAAAAACTGAATTGAATTTGTTATTTCCACCGAGACAAGCTTATTTATGTAAAAAAAATATCGACCGAATAATTGCGAAGTATGATATTCCAGAGTTGTTAGCAATGGGCTTTCAAGTCTGATAAGTTTTTTGGCGTATTCCTTAACCAATTCTTGTCTCTAGAAAATATGTCAAAGTTCAAATTGCGGGTGTTATAATTTCCAACATTTTAGTAAACCTGCCTCGTTTATTTGAGTGGCAAGATCACAGAATGGCGAAATTTACTCTTGCCTCTCGAATAAACAGGGCGTGAGTTCAAATATAGTACGAATGGGACCGTCAATTTCCAAAATCTTAATAAACGTATTTCCTCTATTCGAGAGTTAGGATAAAAGAATGAGGGAAATTATTATTGCCGCTTGTAGGAGGGCGTTTAAGAAAATTTTGAAAAGAAACACCGTACGTTATTTGAACCAGAGTATTTAGTTGACTGTCAAATGTCTATTATTCAATTATATTCTAATATTCAAAATGAATGGAAGCTTACGGCCATATTACGTTGAAACAGCGGTTCCAGTGTGATAACCAAAGTTAAGCAACATCAAGTCTGATCTGTACCAAGATGGCTGACCCCTTGGGAATAACAAATGTTGTATGTATGGATGATGTAAGGGATTATGGTACTGAATTTTTAATCAGGGAACAGATTCATGTTGGGTGCTTTAGATACATTTAGGCACAAATATTCTTGGGAAAGACTGGACTCCACCTCTTCTCTCCACTGCTATGATTTATTTATTAAGACTTGTAACACGTAAACCATTATTATCTCACTGGCAAATTCGTACAATCTCATATTTTCTTGTTTTTAAATAACCTGCAAAGGGTTGGTACGCCATAGAAAATGAATCACTCGATCATATTAAACCTTTTGTATGTTCATTTCTTTCTGCTCTTGGTTATATAGTAAGACTTATTACAATAAACTAGCAGCATGACCCGGCGTTGCCCGTGCTTGATTCAAAAATCTTACGACTCATACAGCAATCGCTATCACTTGACTTAAAATATTTTTGCCCTTCCTTGCCTTTAAAGGAGTGCCCTTTGCCGTGCTGATGTTGCTACATGCCTTACTTCTTGCCTATCTCACACTGCGAATGTTTTCTAAACTCTATACTAAACATTAAATCTGTTACGAAAAAAGAACTAAACAAATTAATCACAAAACGATCAGCTTTAAAAAAGAACTCGTAACTGGAAAAACCGAATGAAAAAAGAATGTTAACAACAAATACTTTTTCGCACCCAATCCAGTTCTGCGGAATCAGAATGAACGTTGAGTTTATGCAAGCGAATTAGCCAATTGGAGTAAAGTGCCATGCAGATTTAAATTTTTCCCACTTGTGACGAATGCAGCTATCGATTTTTTTTTGCATGCTAGTTAACATTCGTGTCAGTCAGCTGTTGGCTCTCAGGCTGGCCAATAGAATCTTCCTGCCTATTCGTGGCAGCCAACTATAGGCTCTAACTCTGGCCAGTAGAAAATGGCCGCAAACTACATGAAAAGTGCCGTAGAAGCATGAACAAAATCGATTATTTCCACTATCGATGTGAGTTGGGAAATGCAAAGTCGGTCTTGGCCTTCCAACTAACTTGGAGCATGTGCATGTAAATTTTGTGCAAATCCGTCGAAGATTGCGGCCGGGCATTCGTCACACACACACACACACACACACACACACACACACACACACCCTGCCTTTTATAGATAGAGAAGAATCATGATTTACTCTCTCTAAAAAAAAAAAAAAAAAATTCTTACAATCTAAAAATATTTTCTAGCCTTATATAACCTGTAAATGTTGATAAGCCGTTGACAATGAACCAATCTGTGTCCTTTTGCAAATACTGGAATTTACAGTGAAAGTCCGGAAATTTGCATGCCAGAAATCAGGACATTTCAAGACAAGACTTTTTAAATAGAGCGATTTTTGTGCGTTCAAATATAGTACGAATTCTACATCTTTTAATGTAAATGATTTTAGACTCTAAATTGAATGTGTCAATATCGCTAATGAAAAATATGTTTTATCAGCCGAGAATTTCTTTGAGATGTTGCATTATTCTTACTCTCTAGGATAAAAATAATTTTATAATCGAGACTTATAATTTTATTCAATTTTCTTTATTCTTTATCCCGCCACTTTCATTACGTTTTTACTTATACATTTTCCTTATTTTATTTCTTCTTGCTTTCTTTTCTCACTCTCTTATATATACTATGTTTGCCATATGTTTTTCATTTTTACTCTATTTCTTATTCTATGACTTTTATTACCCTTGTCTTCCTCTTTCTTTATTCTGTTCTCACTCACTTTTTTCATCCTTACTCTCCCTTTCTTCAATTATTTTCTCTCACTTGATTTTCCTCTTGTATCACTTTTCTTTCTTCTTGCGTTTCTCGCTCTTCTACATACAATTTTTGGCATTTTAGGTTTTTTTTTCTTTTCACTCTTATTCTCTTACTTTTATCATCTTTCTTTCCTCACTCATTATCACTTTTTCATCCTTACTCTCCATTTCTTTATCTCTTTTCTTAGTCTCTTTGTTTTTCTTTTTCCCCTCTTCCTTCTTTCTTTTCTTCTACATACTATTCTTTCCACTTGTGTTTATTTGTTTTTTTGTTACGTTTTTCTTCCTTGGTCTCCTTTTCTTATTCTCTTACTTTTTCCATGTTTCATTCTTTCTTTTGCAACAGGTGACCACGCGAACAACATTTTAAAGAGAGCAATTAAAAAAGTAGCAAATACATTGTATCCTCCTCTTCTGTCCACCTATCATATACAGCATGTCCATTTGCAAAACATAATAATGGCTTCCAATAAACATAACCCCATTTAAACTTTACCGAAAGGCACTCCTAAGTGAACTAGGGGTCTTACCAGGATTTATTATTGGTAGGCACAATCTTAGCAACATAACATGTGCTGGTGAAACCGTGTTGATTGCGGGCTCAGATAGAGAGCGGCAAGAATTCCTAGACAGGGTAGTAAAGAAAAGCGGAAAGAACTATCAATTATAGAAATTTACTATATATAAGCGTAGCACAACGTATGCTGTATCCGGTGAGGTTCGAACTTACTACTCAGTCATAATTAATTTAGCGAGACAAGTCTGCGAACCTTTGAAATACAAGTGCTATAAGAACTATCAATTATAAGGGAATAAAGTAGTCGTTAGGAAGAGATAGACATTGGGTAGACATTGGAAGATGCGGGCTAAATATGGGAGACCTCAAAAGCAACCAAGTTCATATATTTAACTTCCTGGGAAGTGTTTTAGGGGAAGAAAAGTATTGACACCGAAATCCAAAGTCGCATTTGAATAGCGAAAGATGTCTTCTAAAAGCTCAACAACGTATCAAGAAACAGGAAAATTTTGTTAGAAACAAATTTTGCTGGAGTGCCATGTAATATCAGTCCTCTTCCAT